AACCTATATCTCCTTATTCTAAACACATTATTTAATTTAAATTAGGATTCTAATTATCATTTTCTGTGCCACTTAGTATCTTATTTACCAACATAAGGTAATGTCTCATATACTCCATGCTTGGAATATTTAGTTTGTTTAATGTTTCTGTTATTTCTTCTGTTGCTTCCTTCAATGCTATTGCTCTTATATGCAAATTACCATTTACAAATGTGACCAATTTGCATTAAATCCAGGTCTAGATCTAGATCTAACCTACTAGATCTAACCCAATTTTCGGAATTAGAGCAGCGGTGGCCCCAGTATTAAGCCATGGAGCACTTTCTGTCAGCGCTAACCCTGCCTCTTTAACCAGACCTCTTTTCTTTGGAAATTTTCAAGTGGTCTGCCAACATCTGCAAAGAAATAAACATAGCATTTCAAGTCAATAAAACAAGAACTCTGAGTCTCTATCCATAGGTTCTGTCCAGCCTGCTGAGTATTTCTAGCATTTCCTGCTATCATTTCAGATTTTCAGCATTCACAGTATTATGCCCTTGGATTATGCCCTTTATTATATCTTTCATACATTTTTCTTACTCATTCACCACTTATGCACAGAAACTCCACAACGTTGAGTTTACTAAGTGCAGAAATTGGTTTTAGTTTGGAGGTTTTGGCAGACAATATCATAGAGCTTATCAGCCAAATGTCCTTGTCACTTCAAAAAAAAGTCAACAAGTTTGCTTAGATTGTGTTGCCCCTCATCTAAAATCATGACTATTGTTTGCCTGATTTTTGTTTTTCAGATCATCCTTAAATTTATTCCTGATAATTGGTTCCAGTATTTTACACAGAAGTAAAGATTATTAGGTCTGTAGTTGCCTGTGTCTATTTTGTCATCATATTTGAATCTGATACTATTGGCCTATTGATTGTCAGTCCTCTGCTAGTCTGCACTTTAAATAAATATTATGGTACCAGAGTGAGAGACAGATGATCTGTATGTAATGCAATGTCTGGATCTCTATATCTAAGATAGTGATTCAACTTCAAGAATTCATATAAAAACCCTGTAGCTTTCAAACATCAAAATACTCTTTGTTATCATGTTCATCACTGCAAGAAAAGACACCTCAGTGGCGAACAAACCACAGTTAGTTTACAAACTGCTCATTCCCCTTCTAAATACTTCAAGAAACTAATGATTTATGACTTAACTACTTAGTGATCATCCTCAGTCACAAGGCCATTAGTTTATTTTAATGTTCTTAATTCCTAGCCAAGAAGCTTTGTGTTGTTTTGTTATTGAAATAATTGGTACAATTATGTTTTGCCTCAGGAACAAAATTTTATTCTATACTTCTTTTCCCTTGGATCACTTTTTTGATATGATTCTACTTAATCCATTCCAGTAAATCTCTTCCTTCCTACAAGATTTGCAGAGATAGTTTCAATCTTAATATCGCTTTTTTCTTCACTTTTTAAGATGATGTTTGTTGAGTTGGGGTTTCATGATTTTAGGTTTGCATGTGTCCCACTTGCTTTGAAAGAATGTGGCTTGACTCATTTGATAGAATCCAGAATGAGCATGTTCTTCCAGAACTGGCCAATTTGGAAAATAGATGAGTAAAAGTCAACTCGTAGAACTGCATTTCTGGATGTTTACCAAAGTATTGGAGCCAATAGTCACAAATTAATTGTTAAACTAGTGATGTATAGCCAGTGCTTGAAATTTGTATTTTAAAGTGTTGACATGACAAAGCTGTTTTTCACGTTGTTTTTATTTGATTTTTAAAATTAATTAGTGTTTTTATTTGTTTCGATTGAAAATCATTGTGACATTCTTTTTTTTTACTGATAAACCTTTTGAAATAATTTTATTTGGTCTGAAAGTTCATTTAGAAATGCATACCTACCACCCACAAAGAAAAATACTCAGCCTCATCTGTCAATGTTCTGCATTTTTTTTCAGATATATTCTCATTATCTTCTATAGAGATATATGTGGATGTATTCCTTCATTTGATCTGCATTAACCAATCATTCATATACTGTATCTGAATTTAACACTCTTACAGTTTTCAACTTGGCTCCTTGTTTTGGTAAAAATCAGTCAGAATCCTCTCATTGCCCAAAGTAGGAATATGCCAAAGCATGTTATGTCCTCTATTATTGAGTTTTGAGTCGTCTTTCAAGATTCATGTTATTTTGTACTATTACTTCCTGTATATACTTGGGTGGACTATGCACATTGCCTCAATACACCACACTTGTGCTACACCACTAGCAAATTATCAGATCAGACCACTGCTAGTCTATAGTTCACATGTCAGGTCTCTTCATCAAACACCTATATACATCTTGACAACAAGGATCACTCTGATTACAACAATTATTGCCTTTTTGAGGGAAGATATAAAAACTTTCTACCTGTTAATTCAAGTTTCTAACAAATCCAACCTATATATATTGAAAGATATTTTGTTGAGCATAGCTTTCCAGTACATTATAATACATTTCAGTTTAAGAATTTACAAAAAGGCCTTGGAGTATCCATGTGTCCTACATAAAGCCTAATTTATAGAGAATCCTAAACTGTACAGAGGTGAAAGGTTTTGCCTTTTATCAAATTCTTTGTAGGATAGCTTTGCCTGTTTTCTGAAAATAACCCCCCTGTAAAAACTTTATTGTAGATTACCTTTATCTTGTTTGGGATCACATGTCTATTTTCTATTGTCTATCACCTCGCAAGCATTGTTCCCTTTACTGAGGAGTCATTCCATCTCCAAAAATTTGCTAGACCCTTTTTTCACAAACAAGAAGCAACTGGCTAAAAACTGACTTGTATTTGTGCTTCACAAAAAAAACAAAAGCTGAGAACGAAGAGAATCCCTGCTAGTTTAAGGATAATTTGACTTCATCACTCATGAACCATACTGGCCGAAAGAAAACGTCAGACTGTGTACACCCCGATAATAATTCACCCGTTCTTTAACGAACAATGGCTCACCAAACATACACTGGCCTTCACAAGCATTCAATCTGTGATTAATCACGCCCTATTTCAGCGCCTTTCCTCTGGATTTCTTTCACTTCACTAAATTATAATAAAAGGCTGGGTTATTTTGAAAAGGATGTAAGTTTTTCCAATCTATTTGCCTGCATACCGGGGCAGTGGTTTGATCGGGGGGTGGCATTCGGAAGCTGTGCTTTATTCTCATGGAAGCTAACTAACCAATCATCCAGTCACTTCTCGATCTTCCTTTGAGCACATACAACCCGATCCGTGAAAATGTCAATGTCCGCCAAGTGATTCAGCACATGAGGCCTGACGAATTCTGGAGCTGAATGTTAGCAAGGAGCAGAAGCTGTAAATAAAACGTTAACGCTTCGACGCTTAACATAAAACAACTGCAGATGCTGGTATTTTTGAAGACGATCAAAGAATACTGGAAACACTCAGCAGATCAGTCAGCATCTGGGGACCTTGAAAGATTGACATTTAGAGGGTGGTGGGACCAATCGATGAGAATATACTTTCCTCATGGAAGTGTTATCCCATCTGATGACTAGTTCTACGCAAAGCGTCACATATTCCAAATGGTAAAACACTCGTACAGATTTATTTACATTAATGCTTTAAAATATTTTAGAAATTGCGAAGGGTTTCTTTAAAGTCCGATATTAAACATAGGTAATTATTATTTCATAGTATCACAAAAACTTTTTTTTTAGTCAATTGGCGAAATAATTCGAATCATGTTGGTTAATCTGGCATTGTAACCTTATCATCGAATTAAAACAGGATTCAATCGAAACATTACTAAATGCAGCATTAATTATAGGTATCTGCACTGTCATTGCACACTGTTACATGCAGCAGCGTTACCTATTAGTGTGTGTTACCATTTTAATATGATCTTACGAAACGGGAACACACGAAAGGGGGATATGTTCTATTTAATTATGTCCAGACATTTGATAATAATCTACTGTATCATTTCCAAATGCAGGTTCGAACTCATAAGAGTTATTTAAGATTTTAAAGACATGCAGCTGAAAACGAGAACAAACCTACCCATAGACTTTCACAAAAATAAAATAGATTGGTGAAGAGCAAATCTTCAAAATGTTAAGTGAGTTTATTCGAAAATTCTCGCACAACGCATTGCAACGAAAAGGCGAATACCAAGCGCACTGTACATCATTCAATATAAAAACGAAAAATACACAACGTATTGCTCTACTTCACAAAAAAATTATATAGTCTCTGAAATCATATATAGCATTATAACGTACTTCCGACTCATGCTCCTACTATTTTTCCTGAAAATATATGTACATAAAGATGATCAAACCAATAAGGATACCCTATTTTAAATAGTTTAAGTACTAATCTATCAACAATGGTCTCTGTCACGTTTTGCGCGCGTCTTATAGTGCTTTAATACTTGTCTCTTTAAAGACGCGAGTTCACACAAAATTGAGTAATTGCTCCCAGCTCTACATCATAGGTCACTTTTAGCTTTGTCTGCAAATTAAGTTTGTTGACCCTTATACATTTGCTTAAATGATTGATATTCACGCTGGACCTGTCAAATTATTTGTCATCATGATTTCTAAATGAAGGTCATTCCATTTATTGAAATGTTTCGATGATATTAACGTTGCATTATGACAAATTACTACATCGACGGATAAAAACTGAAAGGAAGTGCACTGATGATTTATTTTAATCATGCTTGTGGTATTCAAGTTTTTTTTTTCACAGATGCTTTCATCTTATTTGTAATTCCATAGTCATTTATTAAACGACGATCACTTGGCATTCATACACTGCATTAGCCGGAGCTATGAATATTGCTCAGCCCTAATAAATATCCTTTACTATCACAGACACCGAAAGGCACAATTCCTATCATCTTATGTACAAAATAGACAGGCATTTATAGACGCTTCAAGCATTTTCGGGATTTTTTGGCAATTCGGTGTTTACTGGCGTCAGTTCTCCAAACTGTTCATTGATCGTTGTTTTTCCCTGAATCTTGATCACTTTGATCATCCGTAAAGCAGACGTCCACGTCGCTCTCGTTACTGTGGTCACTTTTCTGCTCAGGGTCGTCGAAAGATGACTCCGTTTTGCTCTCTGTTTTGTGCACACTTTGCCCCGGGTGCCTCGATTTAACATGCCTCTCCAAGTCTCTGCGACGCACAAGCACTTTGCCACAGAACTCACACCTGTAAGGGGTGTTCCCCTCCGCGTGCAAACGGATATGTTTGTTTAGGTTGCTGGGATCTCCAAAGGGTCGAAGGCAAACTTTGCATTTTAAAGGTTTGTACCCTGTATGTGTCCGCATGTGGATTTTCAGTCCGTATTTCCGGGAGTAGAGTTTCCCACAGTACAAGCAGAGATGACCCTTTTTGGGCTTGCCACTGGACGTGCTCGTGGTGGACATGGAGTCCAGTCGAGATCTACTCTTCTCCGCGGCGATACTCGATAGTTGCTGCGTGTGCATGGCGATCTCTCTGTCGATGTTGGTGATGGAACCAATTTCTGGGTTGAGAGATGGAGCTCCAAAGTAGGTGACAGATTCGGGGTATTTAATTAAGTTGCTGAAGTGGAATTTTAAGGGGTAGTAGGGAGGACTGTACAAAAGCTCGCCATTGTAAACCGTTAAGGGCATTATGGGAATGTTGCATTCTCCGGCGAAAGGTTTAACTCCTTCAAACGGTGGAATGGAGAACCTCTCAAAATGAACGCTCGTTGGGATCGGGGTATATCGGCTGGGAGACAAACTGGCGTGAAGGCCCCTCTCGACATGTTTGAATGCAGATGTCTCTTCAAAACTGGGGAACAGAGGGAAACCTCTGTTTGTGTCGCTACATGGCAATGCAGGGAGTGGCGGCTCGATGGAATGGACACATTTGGCAGGGGAAGCTCCCACCAAACTCTCTCCGGAGGAGCGTGGTGATTTCAGACTGCTCACCACTTTGCTGAAACCCAATCCAATTGCTTTAGCGCTGCTGTCCCCGCTTGGATCAGGCGAAATTAATTTCGATAATCCCGTGGGTTTAAACGCGGATCTAATCCCGGGGTGAAAGCCCATGGTGTTGACAATTGAAGAGGTGCCGCTGATGGTACTCAAGGCTCCATGACTCCTGGCTGAATTAACACTCATGTCCAGGGCTCTGTCCTGTTCCTCCTCACGTCCCATTGACTTCTTGGTCATAATCATTTTGGCCAAAACTGGAGACGCTGGTCGTTTAACCCCTTCTGTTGGGCCAGAGGAGATTTGGTGGCCATTTCTCGGGGGTGTTGATGAGCTGGATATGTCGGCGGTTTTCGGAGATTTGGTGAAAGTCTCTGAAATTCGGCATTGATCACTGTTGATGAAGCCCCTGCCGTTGCTCAGAGCGCAGTGGAAGTGGATATGAGCTATTAAAGTGTTTGGATATTTGAACGTTCTCCAGCAGTACCAACAAATATAACGTTCCTCCCCTAAAGAGACGAATGAGAAGAAGACTAAGTTTTCGATAAGGTTGTAAACATTTCCACACAAAAAAATAACTGCAAACAATATCAACAAGTATTGTGCCCAAAGGCTACTGTCTAACACAAATAGGAAACAATGTTTCAAATTATCACCCACTTTTCAGCAAGCGACTCCCATATCCCAAGAATGACTTGTGTAGCTAAATTATAGATTGCAAAGAAGGCCGTGTAGTTATTAAAATTATCCTTATACGATGATACAGTGCTCACTGTCAGAAAACGCTCAAACTACACCAGCCCAGTTTCTGCGACCCAAGTCGATAACTTTCCAAATTAAATGGTAATAAATGTAAAAGGAAGTCAATGAAGCAAATGAGCTTGGTTGGATAATTTATATGTAATTCTTAGCCCTGTTATTTCATTATGCAGTTCTCTAAGGAGGAAACGCAAGCCTGACCAGACATATACAACCTAGACAGTTAATGTTTTGGCCTTTGCAGGCCTTGGAGGTGATAACAGCTGTTCCTTGAAATCATGGGGCGCTTGAAACAATGCACTTGGCCCATCTGTTGATGTTGAAGAAAGGAGGCGTATGGCAAGGAGTTGAACAAACTGGTCAAAGAACAAACTATATATCATAAGCTTCGCATTAAAATCGGAACAAAGCCGAGGATATAAAAGTTGCTGTCGGAAGACCAGCAGTCAGGTTAGGTGCTCGCATTTGCAAATGCTTCAACGGGAGAATGGCATCGATCTATTCATTTCCAATTTAAAGCACGGTTTTGTATATTGCACAACCATTTTTAACCTTTACCGTTGCTTGATATTTTCACTTTCCCTTTTTGTGCAAATGAAATGCCCCCAGTGTTTCGATTTCTTTCTACTTTTCTTCCTGCACTTCTTTATGTAATTTTTTAATTCCGCTCTTCTTCCTCTCTTCGTTTACTTTCCACTTCAGTTTCTTTCCTTTCTGCTTTCCAAATAGATTTCGTCGATGAATGTTGCTTAGTCCGATTTACCGTTACTTTTTTTTGCAGTTTGCCGCTCCTCCATTCACACATTTATGCAATGTCGATTGCATTCGTGGTTCTCGAACCAATATTGCACGTATACTTAAAATTTAATCGACTGTTTTCCGGCTTTGACCTTAACAATGTAGATCATTTGTGAACAGTTGTAATGATTAGATCAAACTTTGTTCCGAGGTTTTTCAACTGCAAGGATCTCTAAGGGATCAAAATATATTAGTCCTCTGATTATTTGCTGAAAATTAATGTGAATCAAAGGCATTTAATCTGTTTAAGGTATTGATAATTTCGTTTTGATTCTACCTCATTGAACACATTTAACAAAAGTGTACATCAGATATTTTTGATTCTCCTGGACAAATGGTTCTCATGTTTGTATTTGAAATACAATATCTGATATTTCATTCAATATCTTGAAAGTTACTATTATTTGTTATTTCAAAATCAGAATGAAGTCCAAATGTTTTCAAGGATCAACCCCTATATCAATAAAGGATACAATGGAAACTTGACGTTGTTCATATTTCGAATGCTTAATTCCAAACCTCTACCGGCAAAGCAGAAGACATCATACAGAAAAAAGAGGTATATTTTCCCTAAATATTCAGCCAGTATAAATGCATTTTAAAAGCAAAACTTCGAATAGCTATCTGCTTACAAACTTCAAAAAGCTGCATTGAAATGATTACAGACTAAGTTTACACCAGTAATGTATTGATTAAACATACGTTAATGTTAGCGCCTGTGAAACGAATGAACTTTATCCCTAGGACATGAACTGTTGAGTATCTTCAGTTGTATAAAGCGCTTTCTCAAAAAATATGTGGTGAGAAGAAGAAATCGTGAGATCAGATCAAAATACTGACAGATTGCATTACAATATAACGTTTGAAAACGATTTCATTGTTTGAAATCATTACTAGGTCTAAAATCATCCTTTCAAACGTTGAATGTTATGCGAGGTGACCAAACAGTCAGGTATAGCATGTCCAATCGAAACTTTAAAAATGCAGAGGAAATTATATTCATACATGTTCACCCTGTTGCCTATTCTCTGGCAGATTGAACTGCAAAGCAAGCTAGTGTTTAAGAACATAATATCCAAATACGGGCAAACAGTTCATATGAAACTGTAGTTCATTGATATGTCGATTGAATTACTTGCATTCAAAGTCAGCAAGAAACTGTTATATCGCCACGCCGACAGTGATTTTTTTTTAAAGAGAAAGTGTTCAGAACCAGTCATTCAACAAAATAGTTGATGTATATGATTTCAACATTACTAACGACCTATAAAATAGTGTCCGAAACATTTACGATCTATTTCACTGTCATAAGTAGTGATGAACTGATTTAATCTTACCTGCTTGGTTAACTCTTATTGAAATGTATGCCTGTAAATACTTCAGAAATTAACATTATATCCTTTCCAACAGTATTTATTATCAAGTATTCATATTATACCACAAAAATGGAAAACAACAGTCGTTCCGTTATGTGCTATATCATGCCAGCGTCCTTCATATACAATCTATCGACGTTGAACTCCAGGAGGTGGTATTGATAGGATCAGAACTTAAAGCCTGAAGCAAAGGGTCTGCATGTCGTCTGTTGACTTTGGGAGTGTCTGCAAACCTTACTTGTAATTGCTAAACCGCTGTGGCTGAAGCAACGTCTTCAGTAATCCTTCCACATTAACTACACCTTGGTTTACAGACCACAGAAGCGTCTCGATCCTCCCCTTCCCCCAACCGAGACCACCAGCACCTATTCCTTTGAAAAATTAGATTAAATAGCTGAGTTCACCAGTGGATCTCTTGTTATTAATCCTTTGAGGAATGCAATTTTGCATCCGCGCACAGTTTGGAGCCAGGATTCCTTTCCACGTTCCCATCTGGTATAAATAGCTTCTATGTTAGACGTGAAATCGTGGAATGTTCATAAACTCCACTTTTGAATACTTCAACCATAAAGCACCTACTATTTGTTTGATCAATTGTTCCTCTATGAAACTTGGCTAGATTTCAACTGGAGTAATAATCATAAATCAAAACAACCTACAATGGAACGATGTCCAAAGTTCCTCGAAACGTCCATACTGTATATTATATTGTGTTACCTCTTTAGTCTCACCTTGTTCCAAAATATGACCTTTACATGTGTATACGAAATAAATTGCAAACATGCGAACATGGATTGTGTTAAGTTCCAGAAAAATGTAGATCTATTGTTATAGTTCAAGTCTTTTCATCATTCAAAAAAGAAGTGCATATGATAAAATGGTGGCCTGATAACAATTTCGGCCTATTTTGCAATTTGAATCCGATTGGGTTTTTTTTCCTATTGAGTCTTTTGTTAAGTTTTGCCAAGTTCATCAACGTAGAAATGCTGAGTGAACTTTTCCGACAGATTAGTAGATTTCCATTCGATTCAATTGAAACATGGTTAAAAATAGACGTTTGTCATGCCAACATTTTCAACCGTATTCTTAAATTAAACTCTGAGCAGCGATTTATGTATTTGCAATGTATTTCCTCTTCTTTTTTAAGGCGAATAGAACCAAGGACTATCTGCTGAGAGGAGATGTTCGCTTGCCTGATGTCAACATTGTACTAGTGTGTCATTGATTGCTTCTGACAACGGGATAGAAACTTTCTTCATTCGCAACGCTACTCAGTGAGTCAGTTTAAAACCTCAGATTTGGCGGCTGATGCTGAAAGTAGCAATGTGCCATCGACAATCGTTTTCTTGCAAATACAAGTTGATTATGCTATACGATTGAGGCATGTTGTATTATCTCAAGTGTTTATCGAATTCGAGTTATTTCCTTAAACAGATTGTGCCAACACTTTGACCGTCGTACAGAAACAGAACTACAGATTGAATTAATATGTATAATTCACTGCTTCTTACGGGTCAGCAATGCATTTAATTCCACCACCACCGTTCCATTAAACACTCATTAAAAAAAAAGTTTCAGAGGAAGTGGCACATCATCGCCTCTCAAAATTCCAGTTAATTCGGCCAAGCAGAAAAAATGCAAGACAATTTATCAAGCAGTATTCTGTAACTGCACATGCTGCGTGACACTGGGGAAACGCTGACTTCATAATATTCAAAATGATCAATGCAATGATTGCAGCACTTTCATTTTTAAAAATGTTAAACAAATGAATTAACTTGTGTGTTGACAGTTAGAAGAACCCACGCATGGCATTTTTGTATTAGTTGCAGGCTGTTTACAGTTACTCCAAAAATTTTAGGATTAGGGATATATAAAAGATATTGGTTCATCCACGGTAACTTAAATAATAAATTTCGTTATCCATTAAGAAAAAATGTAATAATTCGTAATCCTATTTTTGGCTAAAGCGCGGCAATTCGCTGAAATCCTGTAATAAGCCTAGAGATTCAAATAAATGCGGATATCACTCTGCTTTCATCTATTAGCTACATCCATGTTCACAGGTACCTTGTCGTTGCAAGCAATCTGTGGTTATACTTCCATAAATGCAATACACATTATGCACCTTTATTTTGTACGTACATAAATATTTCTGCAGAAAAACCTTTCGACCAAGTTACCTACAAATATTATTTGATTAAATCCGTACTTTTCAAACGAAAGAGTTTCTAGACTCAAGTGCTAGTTCCTACCTTTCTCATCGTGTGTCGGTGTGGCTGTGGTTGGTATATCGAACCACTGAGCCAGAGTGCTGGAATACCACGCTGCTAACTCCTCCCCAGGCTGGATATCCCTCAGCGTTCTGTAAAAGATCTGCAGAGGAGAGCAGATACAGAAATCTAAGGTTACTTTATGATTTAATTTCTGTGGTGTACAGTGTTAGTTTGATTTTTTTAAGAGAAAACAAAGATAAACCACGCCAGAAATGTCATGTAATGTACCTGTCCCCCTGGAAGGTCAGTGATCGCTTCCAGATTCTGCTCTTGAATGTGTCTGGCAGCCCGGATTAACTCTATCCATTCCGGGACTGAATCGCCAGCTTCATCAACCAAATGCCCTCTGACAAAGCGTACCTGAAATAAATCCCCAGCACCACAGTTTAAGAAAGGTCCTTCTAATTTTATTTCGTTGTCCCTAAACGCTCTTTTCATTCACTCATAATGATTTCACTTGGTTAGTCTGTCTGCAACAGAGGTAAACCCCTAACATGTCATGTAGTTACACTCAGAAGGGTCTACTAAAATCAAAGGACGAAAACTGCAATAAAATGTGCTGAGGGACGCCTTTCACCCAAACGTCAGGTTTCCAATTCTTGTTTGTTATTGATTTTGCAATCATTAATATGCTAGGCACTTCACATCGCCGAAAATTGAAATTAAAATAATCGAGTCCAACATTCCATTCAGGAATGCTATATTAAAGAAGAGACCCGAAGATACCTGGCAGTGACCTGATTCCGCTAAAAATTGTAATGACTGTGGGAAGCTGGGGAAACATAGCTTTGCACAAGCCAGAAAAAAAAATCATAGGAAAGAAGTTGTATCCAACAGTTTCCGTTTATTACATGTCGCTGGAAATATTTTAAAAATCGTACTTTTCTTACTTCTCTAATTTTTCTAGTTCAATTAAAATGTAATTTGCACGTGTATTAAGATTTCAGAGAAAGTAATTAAACTTTGAAAGGACAAAAATGAAAAAGCAGTGTTTTGTTTTTCAATAAGGCGTCAACTACAAATCCGGGTTGAGGTTTGCAAAAGCATGTTCGCAAACGTGGACGATCTTCAACCGGTTTATATAATAGCGCCGTGTACAAAGAGCTCCCACTGACACATGTTTTACTAACACCTGTTCACTTTTGGCAATTGACTGATTGGATAATTGAATTTCAAGAAGCAGCCAGCCTTATCTCCTCACTTATCTTACACCTTGCATGCATGTAAATTACGTTCGCTAATAAACATGTTGGCGTACGAACAGATAACCCCCAACTAACAGACGTTCAAGTATTCTCTGTACAGAAGCTGATCAACAAAATATTGGGGTGGGCGGATCAATCGCGGCCATTGAGAGTCGCTTGGGGAAAGTGAACTGTGATTAGGCAGAACGGTTATTAACAAAATCGAAACCGATGAGAAATAAATAACATGGCTCGTCAGGGCGTTTAATGGGCTGTTAACAAATCAAAAATCTGACCATGACATACGAAAAGGCATCTGCACCTGTTTAAGGAGGTCCTTAATAATATGCGGCGTTGGACAGTGGAAACTATCAAACCTGAATAACACTATCTGGTCTGCATGTTTCTGTGTGTATCACATACACACATACACAGTGATATCTCCAGTTAAATTACATGAATCGTGTTTGTTTTATACAATGCAGTTCAAGTATTGATAACTAACTATAGCAACGGCAAACAGTGTCTGGTTCTAAATTTCTTCGCTAAAAGTGTTACAATTGAAAATAATCCAACTGTTTATGATTCGATTAATTTAATCAAGCTAAAGAAATGATACCTGGATGTTCAAGGACACGATTTATACTGAGAAAGGGATTGCTAAAATTCGAACTGTAAACATGAAGAATAAATCACTTACAACAAACATTCTCAATCTAACAACAGAAGCAAAATACGATCATTAATTGAAGCCTGGCCGCGCTACTAATTGCAGACCCATCAGACACGAAAGCAGGAATTGGATCCAATTAAAGCGGTTTGTCAATAACTCGAACAGAAGTTATCAGACTATGGTAATTCACAGGAAAACACAATTAACTAACAATTAGCGAGCAAGTGATGCCATTAGACAACCTAAAGCAGCGCCCACAGATCCTAAAGGTCATAGACTTGTTATTTTGTCCAGTAATATCCCTTCATAAAGAATTGACGTGTAATATTGTTTTGCTTGTTTGATTATTTGTATGAAAAAATAAACTCCTAGCATTTCTCGTAGCTTCTGCGAAACTAACAATTGATTCGAAGTTCGCAAATTTACGAGGTAGGAGGGAAATTTGTATTTGAATTATTAACACCGATGTAACGAAAACTGTTACCTTTTTCCTATTGAAATGCTCCTTGCGATCGGACATATATTTTCCCAGCCTAAAAATGCCCTGCACGGGACCCAAGCGCAGACCGGCTGGGATGGTGCTATCCGCGGTCACGGTGATCGCCGAGCTCCGGGGGTTTTGCATGGCTCCGGGGATACTAGAGGGAGGAAAAGAAGAAGCGAAGGAAGAGGGATGGATTGACAGCGAGATGAGACAGATGAGAGAGAGAGAGAGAGGGGGGGAGATGGACACAGACTGGTCTCCGCCTGCAAAATGACGCGATGGAGTCCGTGCGCTGCGCTTTTTCTATCCAAAGGGGGAACGCTGCGTTGCAGCAAAGTGCACAGAGTGCCTCAGTTTGGTGAGAGAGTTTTGGTGCGATCACAGCTGCGAGCCACAGCCAAGAGGGTCAGAGAGACACACATGGAGACTTTCCCTACCCAACTGAATAATAAAGTGCTCGAAATAGCCAGGAACAATGGCCCAGGCGACCTTCCCATTCCTAAAATCCAATTTGTCAAGGGCGCAAAAAAGGCGATTGTGAATCAAAGGTCTGGCGGGACCATTAATCGTCAGCTTGTGTTATTGTCCGGCAGACAGTTACGATATTTTAAGTGACAAATTCACTGTATAATTTCTCCATAAATTTTGCCTTCTTTTATTGCGACCAACAAAACTGGGAAAATAAGTGACTAAAGTTAAGTCTACTTGGCTGATTCTTTTCAGGTTAAATATACTTCAAAGATTTTACTCACCCCCTTGATTTTTTTTTTCTTTTCTCAGAGGAGTGAATCTCAGTTAAACAAAGAGAGCAGGAATGTTTGGAGGACTTGTTAACTTCTATTGATTCGGCGTGTGCCGCACAGAAACGGGGCAGGTACTTGATGGTAAAACACCAGAAGAAAATTCGCTACCGGTCCAAGATAATCGCCATCTACATTTATCCAGCTCTCCCGTTAAACTCCCGGTCTATACAGTTGAGAAAATTATTTAAGCTCATTGCTTCCAAGTAATCTTTGCCAATACTGGGCCATTCCAATGCCTATTTTGGGACTCTGGCAAGTTCAGAATGACCCGCGTTGTTAAAACAAACAGGGAATGTGCCGGTTCAGCTTCCCTTGTCCATTTCCTGGACGGAAAAATGCAAGAGTTCGAATTTTAATCCCCCTTCGCCTCAGTAAAACATTGCCCTTGTTCAGAATTAGGAAGCTTGAGATGACATGTTATCCACTTGAAAATCTATTTCGAAACAAAACACTGATTTTCTTCCACGACGTTTATTTACGATTGTCACAGGAATTGTTTCAAATTTAGCCGTTTTAGACGAGAAATAAAACACCCTCATTTTAAATATTTGGCATCTGTTTTCTACTTGAAGGTTTAAAAAATAGTTTGAGGTCATTGGAACGATTCTATTCGTTTGGTGGTCAGAGAGTGAAATGATATTTTAAAAAGCGAAATAAATCATTTAGTTGTTTAACCTTCTATTGATAGTAAACCCGTTTCTCCATCTAGAAAGTGTATGAAACATTACCTTACTTATATTTCATTACTAACTAACAGGTTCTTTCCTTATTTGCAATAAGATGCAATAAAATGCGTTGTAAATTGATAAACAACAGAATTACCTGTGTTGAGGTTCACATATTTAAATCAAGGATGTGATCCATGTACTGTATGTAAAGCGAATAAGTTTTTTATTCCTTTAAGGATATCATTGACTACCGTTAAATTGTAACAGTAACCCTAAGGCGGGTACGATTTAATAGCAGGGGAAAGCGTTGGTAATGATCCTTTTATTTACATACTATACATCATCCAATTAATACAACATCTGTGGGCAGCTTGAAATCTATTTTATAAAGTAGTTAAATAGCAAAGTAACTTTATTTCATACACATGGAGAAAGTATGGATAATAAGTGCCGAATGCCCAGTTTTTAATCTCATAACTGGAATGCAGTAACGTTGGTAGATTTAAGCATTGTCTTATCTCATATTGTGATGACTCTAAATGTTGCCACTGGGTTGCACGTATCTTATTGTGAGTGATACTAGAACAGTCAACTATCCTTCGTGAAATTGTCTCTCTGCCGATTTCACAACGTAGAGGGAATATTGATGGCTGCAAAAGAAAAAATAGTTTTAGAAATGTTGTTTTGCAAAAGTTTTGCGTTTTGTAGAGAGCTAGAATCTTAATTGTCGGCGTTTTTAGAGACGGTATTAATTTGACATAATCAACAGGCTTATAATTACTAGTACAGATTTCTTCTAACAATGAAACAAATCATATAGAACCAATTATTAACCGTACGTGAAAACCTAGAAATGGAAAGGCATTTCTATAGATTTCGCCAACGCCGAAAACTTACAATTTATTAGGAATCTCATCCAACTACATATCAATACATTTTTGAAAGAATTTTTAGTTCTCTTTGTATTCTTCATTATACCCTCATTTGATTGAATATACCAAATTATAACACTGGGCTACAGTTCTATGTGCGTGGAGAGATTAAAAAAAAAACAGGATTTGACCTCTTTGATATGTCTTCATTGGCACCTCTCTCAATGGTAGAAAAAAGAAACAAGAAGTTCGAGGCAATAAATTTAAGCCATGAACATGTCCCTGTAACCTCTGGCCTGGCGACTTTAGGATGACACCAAGTTAAATTGGGCAAGCAGAGGTAGATGGCTTTGGATTGCAAGGTACCCCATTGCTCCATTTATGGAGCCTTTCCATACTTTATTTAATGATCTCAAAGCGTGAACGACACGCGAACAATTTTATCAATAGGACCATGTAAAATCTGACTGGGAGGAAAGTTATTTATTAATGTCCGCCAATTGTGACTGGTTCCCAGCCACTGAAAATAAAGAGCCCTGCTCTGAAATCATTCACCCCAGCACGGCATTTTTTTTCCACTGTGGCTCAAATATGCACTTTTCCAAGTGAAATAAAATTGGCCAGAGAAGAGGGAAGAAACACATTTTCTTTTATATCTACCCCAAAAAGAAAAAAAAGTAAAACACAAGGGTGAAACCAATCTAATGTGTCCACTGGAGCAGGAGCCAGAATGAAAGCTGGGGTGTTAAAAGTAAAAGCAGTGTTCGAAGCAAATGGGATGGAAAATTAAATGAAATTAAATAGCTTGAACGACTGTATTGTGTCTTATAAAAGGACACATTAATTACATGGTTTCAGCTTTATTCCAGGACAATGTTGTGGACTGGGAGATAATCAAAACATTCCAGGGCTCGCTGTCACAGACTTTTTAACTGGCAACAAAACAATATTTCGCCGGCATCAACGAAAGATGATCGGATTTGCACAAAATATAGTTTGATATGAAATCCTGCATCAGCTTGATCTCTTTTGCGCGTGCCGTTGAACCGTCATTGCCATCAAGTAACATTTTTGGCGTAATGTTCTTTTTGATTTAACAGGTTGCCCGATAATCAGCCATGAATGTTGCAGAACAACAGACGTCCAGAGCCACAGCAGCCTGGGCCAATGTCCCACCAGGGAGCTCCATTCAACACATCAAAATGCTTCTGGCTGGAGAAGGTTCAACATTACTTTCAAACCAGCATGAATGCCTGTATATAGAACCAACTTAATTATGGGCAAACAGTGGAATAAATCAGAAGTTCTCGCAAACTCCTGTGCATAAGGGCTTTTTAACAAATATAATCTTTGGGAAACTTTGTGTATGATTTCTATCGGCGTTCCTCGATGTTTTAATATAAAACAATTATTTAAAGGTTGAGTATTAATTACAATTACATCCAGCGTTAGTTATTTTGATTTCACAGATTATTATTACTCTATTTGTGAGTAAAGAGAATTGCTGTAAGTACCAAAGGTATTCAATGTGTTCAGAAACGAAAAGACTATGGGATGTATGGGGAACGCCTCCCTATTGTAGACTAACGCAGTAAGAAATAGCGCCAATAGGAGATAAATACACCGTGAATTGTTTTAAATTTTGTATTAAATACAGCGGAGAAAACAGAAACAATAACAGACTTAAATGGTGGCTAGATCTTTATTAAGATTACGTCAAAATTGCGATTATTAATGGATCCCATCACATGACCTACTTACAAATTAAATACTATAATTTGTCCATTCAATTGATCTAATCTGGGTTGTTCTTATCTTTCCCAAATAAATGAAGCCAATCTAACATTAAAATTTTAAAATCCCTGCCTAAGGTTGAAGATATTTTTATACCACGATTTCAGCATGCAAGAAGTCAACTGCCTTTTTATTAAACTGAATTCTCCAACTTTTACTTCGTTTTCGGTTGACGTGGTGAAGATAAAAGGCCAGAGGCTTGTGGCTGAATTGAAATGTTTCGGTGTACCTTATAAATTCATACCTTTTCTCACTCGATCGCATTAGAATGAATTCTCCACTCAATTCGATTTTCCTTGCTGTTGGGCACATTTAGTAGAGACTCTATTTATGAAGTTCATTTCTAGGCAAATGAATTCAGAGCCTGGGCCTTATGAATAGGACCGTGTGTCAGCCGCCCCTAATTGGGATTAAAGCACTCGGGACCATATGCACAGAGTGACAGAAATTCTCAGGTCTCATTGTATAACACGACAAGATCAGTAACCAGCCAATTTCCAACCATCCTTCTGAATAACATAGCTGCTTACAATACAGTCTAAAGGCTTATTTGTTGGCATACCTAGGCCGTTTTTTTTAACTCTATTGAAAAATCAAAAATAAAACCACCTTTTGAATAAAATACACTAGCGTTTTATTGTTTCTATTGTAACTACATATTGGCAAAATAGCACGTGAAAAGTACAATGTAATTATTTCAAGGTACTCGCCTTAGAAATTAAGATACAGCTAAATGAATCCATGTGCACAGAAGCTTTTATTTTTGTTGTATGGAGAGGAAGCAAATTTGCTGGAAATGGTTGGAAAGGACCTTTGAAGGAACAACAAATTTTTGCGGTCTCTGTTCGAAATGTTGATTGGCGCACTTTTTTTCTCTAACAAACTAAGGCTTGGAGACATGAACCATGTTATTTGATACTCTATACTTACAAAGTTTATAGAGTTGGGAACTGCTCGGAACAGAACGACTTGCTTTCAGAGCCTTGCTTTGAGTAGTACATGTC